CTCTCTCTCTCTCTCTCTCTCTCTCTCTCTCTCTCTCTCTCTCTCTCTCTCTCTCTACAGAATATTCTCTAATTCTTTTCACTATTTAACAAACGCTCCAATAGTTGCGATTGTTTCATGAATTTCTCAGATATTTTTCTGTTTAATTCATTGATTCTGTCGATTCTTGTCACTAAATCCTCGACCATCCTATCCTCAGTTAACACCAGCCTTTCCTCTACACCTTTCACCTCAAACTGCAATAACTTAATTCTGTTGACAAACTGCCGGTGCTCTGTATGAGTGTTTTTGTGGGCCATGTGTTTATTAGTCTTACGACACATTGTTTTGAAGGCCTGTTTAGCCGTCAATAACTTTACGGCTCGTATGAATCGGACAACATTTTGCTGATTCCGGTCCACAATCACCCGGTTATGCGGGATATACCACGTGGTCTGGGATAGAGGCTTGTGGTTTGACGCATAGAACCTAGTATACATAAACACAATAAGTTTAAATATAAAACAAATTAGCTTTAAAATTAATTTATTATCAAACCTCCAATAGGATTGAATTAATATGACTGCGGGTATCAATTGAGGGCTATGTATGACATCGGCCTCCATTTTCTCTACTCTAAGGGCCACTCCGGTGCCAATAACCTCAGTGGGCAATGCGAATAACCAGAAGCCTATGATCATGAAAATAGATGCCAAAAATTTTCCCGGTATAGTAATCTGGATAGGATTGGTAATAATGTAAATTATTTAAACATATTATTAATATATCATTACAATTTTGTGTGGGTATTTAAAATGTATTTGAACACTTACGGGAACTATATCTCCGTAGCCAACTGTGATAACTGTTTCAACCTTTAAATTAAAAAATATTTTTTTAAAAATAAATTCAAAATAATTAATAATTTAAAACAATTAATAAATAATAACTAGATTCGATTTTTAAAATGTAAACTTAAGTTATATTACAATTTATGGACAGGTATGCTTGTAAATGTAAAAAGTGATACTAACCGCCCACCAAAAGCTATTCGCTATGTTCTTGAACTGACTATTTGTTTGAGTTTCGGCCAAATATACAAGAAATGAACCGATGAAGAAGACAACGAAACTAATATATGTAATAATAGCCAACTGTTCCCTCTGTGAGTACAGGACAGACACAAACATCCGGAAGGGACTGACGGCACTGTCAACACCAGAAGTGGACTTTCTCGCCCACACCAGTCGTATGA